GACACGTTGGGGCGGTACCTGAGACTATGCTACCCGCAGCGACACAGGCGCGTGCGAGCAGTGAGTACTTCAGGGCGCTTTGCTACGCCAAGCAATATGATCTCGTATCTCCCGCTGTGGCGAGTGATGGAGATCCCCATTCGCGGATTGAGAAGCGCTACGGCGACTTGCATGTGCGGTAAGACGATACGGCCAATATCTGTCTTCCGGCACACGGGTGACGAGAAATTGTGGCATGGATAAGGTGGATTTGACGCTGTCGTTGGGCGGAAAGGGACGTGCAGGCGAATGTACGAGATGGGTTTCCCACAAATTTGATAAAGGCGGCATGACCTCCCATTTGCAGTCGTGTTCGTGACTCCCCCAATACAATTCCTGTATACTGTTGAAATCATCTCTTCCATCTCTTTCAATTCGATTTCCTCTAACGCCGACTTCGAGCATCCGATATCGTCATCCTTGAGAATGGAGATACTTCCAGCCACTCCCGGAAAGCGCAAGTCGCCCAACGAATCTTCTGACACCCATTCCCACCCCACCACTGTAGAGCTCTTCTACGACTGGCCCTCCGATCGTAAGATCCCACCCGAAGATGCAACGGTCGTCTACATCAACACCATGGTCGAGGCGAAGAAGCTTTCAATTGGGGATAAGATCGCTGCGGTCCGTGAAGCCATGGCTCATCTTCTACAGCGCTTCTGGACGCTCGACGGCCCTGCATGCGCGAAGAAGCAACCCCGCGAACGTATGCGCACGAAGAGTCACATCAACGCTGTGTTTGGTGCGAAGGACCTCCCGGATGCAGAAAAGATAAATGTAGTCCGCGCAGCCGCCATCCATCTTCTCCAGTGCTTCACTGCAGTGATCGATACAATCGCCCCTGGTAGTGTCGGTTCGGAGACTCTCGAAGGTCATATTGGGAACTTGCGCGCCTCAGAGGGAGCATCCATCAGCATCAGCAAGAAGACGAAGATTGTCGTCAACGCTACCCTGTATCTGTTGGAGGAGTTTTGCATGATCGACCCGAACACGTGCATGACGGTCTGCGAAGACGAGAACGCATCTGACAGGGGCATTGGCTGTGGATGAACGGGTGAGAGGGTCTTTCATGCTACAGCGAGCGGTGCAGGCGATTAGTGCGGCCCATGAGGGTTAGATATGAAGCCGCTCCGCGTTCCGGCGTACTGTGGTCCTCTGGTTCTGGTTCCTATTTGGCACTTTCGGCGATCATCGTTCGTCAGCGCTGCAAGAAATGTATGAGTCTCCTGTTGTCACCGGACGATACATCAGGCATGTGTTATGACGGAGCTAGCGGTACAACACGAGATATCGAGCTGGGAAGGTGACAGGGCGGTATCGAGCAGGACTTCTGTCATGTACCAGTGCCGGGTGTCGGTCCGGCATATCGATAAAGCTGAATCTATCGTATCTGTCTCCAAGCTGTATGTAAGACCGATATACGCCCAAATCAGAAACAGCTCATTAGACTGGAGGTACTTCCAGATGGGAACGAAAGAGCGTCCACTCTCTAGTTTTATACCTTCCCACGCTTGGCTAACGGTTCTTCGCCCTTGGATGGTTGGCGTGAGACTTGCGATCCAGTTTGTTTCTCGTGGGGAAAGCGTTGAGCTAGTTGCTCCGCCGTCGGTCGGAGCTCTGCCTCCCACGCTAAAAGTTCGCTCGCAATATCCCAGAATTCTTGGTAGTCTACTGTGGCGGTGGTTGCGTCCATGATATCTCTGAAGGACTTGTAGACTGGCGCCTGGCCTAGTTTTCGATGAACTTGTTTGCCCATGAGAAAGTCGACCAGAGTGACACCGAGACTCCAGACGTCTGATGGGAACGAGAAGGGCTCCGAAGACTCTTCTTCCTTTATTCTCATGACCTCAGGAGCGAGATACGTTATCGTGCCTCGATTGTGGCGAGTGCTGTGCGGGCCCAGATCGCTGCAACCAAAGTCGAGAATGATGACATGCACTGGGCTTTCGGAGCGATAGCCTACGTTTTCTGGTTTGATGTCCCGATGAAGTATATTGAGGCTGTGGATATGTGCAAGACCGGATCCCATTTGGCGTATGGACTCACGAAGGAAAGTGGTAGACTCGGGAAAACGGTTCCAGGTTGGGAGTAATTGCAGCGCTGAGGAAGTTGCCGGTGGCGACATAATGAGACCCACGGTCAGACACTCATTCTGTCGCCATTCGTGTGGATGGGCTGACGCGTCCCAGTTTACGACCTCAAGAAGCTTGCATACGTTTTCCTAGACAAAAGTTCAGTTTCGTTTCATCGAATCCAGCGCATGACATACATGACTGATACGGCTCAAGATGCCAATCTCTCTTGTTAAGTCACCGAACTGCGAGGCGGTGCATTTGACCATCTTGACTGCGACTGGCTTGCCATTAGACTTGTCAAAGCCCAAAGATACAGAACTCGTGGCGCCATGGTGATTAGCATCATAGATGCTGTAGCCGTGGTAGTTGATAGTTGGCTTGGATGGTGTTGGCGAAAGCAGCATCACGGAATTCGGAGGCATAGCGTTGGCCTGTGCTAGGGCTTCTTCGAGTTCTCGTTGTTTCTGCTCCTGGCTCAAGTCGGTATAGACGAGTACGTAAGTAAGATCACCCAGCCGGATGCTGGTGCCATGTTGAAGGGTAGCTTGGAAATCTCGTTCGTGCTGCGGCTTTTTGTCGTCGCGTTGAAAGGTTCTGCTGTCCACAGTGATCTGCAACCATCATGAGCAAAACGCGCCCCTGAAGAGACACAGTGCAATACCTTTCTGCCGTCAGACACGGCAACCATGACGCCAGTTTCAAGCTGACGTCGCAATCTGCAATGACGTGAATGAAGAGAATTTTCAGTGGTGAATGGAGCAAGAAGAAAGTCTACAAAGTGATCTGGCTTGTTCAGTCTTGAGCTTCCCACAACCCAGCCTAAGCCTTGACTCGCAGGAGGGATGGACATGTTGAGGCGGTAGTAACCGCAAAATTCTTGGAGGGGTTCACGCTGAGGTGACGGGGTAGAAGCAGCAAAACTGCTTTCAGCAGTACTTTCGCTGGACAGCGTGACTTCGTAGTGAATGTACTGGCGCACATGATGCAGCTTGCTGCTATCGGACTCGAGAAGGCGGACGACTTGGTCAAAGAGTCTGCGTGCCGCTGGAGAATGCGGCACCAATCGCGCGAAATCACCATTAGACACTCCGTAATGCACGTTCTCCCATGAAGTTACGTCTGGCAGAGTATCCCCTGGCGAAGACATTGGTGTGATGAGAGGAGAGGAGAGGTCAGGGGCGGCCTCAGAATGTATGGAGTTCGATGATGCGGGCGGGGGTTACCCAATACGGTTAGACCGGCCAGTGAGAAAGCCGCCACATGTGCAGCCCTGGAGTGTTGGGACGGCTTCGACACGACCTCCCTTCAACACCATGCCACCGACCGCGTTTGCATGACGTCGCGACAGCACGACCTGGCATCGCCGCCGCGCTCGCCGGTGATACCCGACGCGGTGCTTAGAATCTACGAGGAACAGTACATCACGAAACCCCTGCAGGCGGCACTGGAGAAGCTACAAGACCAGCTGCAGGCGGCCGGCACCACCGAGACACCACCCAGACGGGCGCCGTATGCCAAAACCCCCGAACTCGCCTGGGGCCGACTATCCGCACAGCTTACACCTACTCCGTCGCCCTCACCACCGCCCAACCACTCCCATCGCAGTCCGCCATCCTTTCCGACTCCGCCCGATACGTCACCCCAGCGCGGGGATTCGGCCTCCGCATCACCCATCAAGCCCGCCGCTGCTACTCGCAAATCCCGCCGCAGACAATTGTCATCCTCCATACAGCCATCTTCCACGATGCTCCGCCGCTCACGAGCCAGAGAGGGTCGAGCTACGGAAAGACAGTTTTGGGAACTGGATGCGTCGGGGCGGAGAGCCAAGCGCGTCGTAGGTGGATGAGCATCACAGTGAGGACGGTACTACAAGACACGATATCACGCATGAGCAGGATCAACGGACAGCATCCATGAAGAGGTTGGGTAATCTTCGATGCAGACCATATTACCTGGGCGGAAACCGTTACTGAGCTCATACCGACGGTTCGCTTCGTTGCACGCAGTCCAAAGCTTCTGCTACATCCTTTGCTGCTTCATCCTGCTGTCACAAGACGTGGAGGCTCAGAAGCAGACATGATAGCCTGGGCTTGCGGTGGTACGTGCAAGGGATTTAAATATATCTCCAGCATCACTATCGCGATCACGTCAGTGTTTGGAGGTGGATGCGGTGTTAACTCCAACAGCAATGATAGCGTTGAGTTCACTCCCGAGGGACACAAAGTACGCACGACGCGTTTGGAGCATGGGTTGTGTCGGTAATAACCCGAATGGGGATGACTGGAGATGACTGGCCGGCAGGCGAGAGGATGAAGATGACGATAAACCTAGGTCTGGCCGTGACTAGGTTTCCTGGATTAATTACTTGCGTTTGAGCAGCCGCGCAGGACTTTCCGAGATGGCAGGATTGCGTCTCGCGAAGGATCTTGAGCGTCATCATCGCGCATTCCGGTGCATGCACAATGCAGAACTATCTCCCGACAGACCTGTCACTTGTCTTATTCATTCAGCTCAATCTCTGCCCGGGTAGAACGGTGAGGCTGCGGGTTGGGCTGGTTTCCATGATCCTGCCCACCGCGAACGGAGCCGGCGCACTAGCCGCATTCGGTAACGGGTCTTTGCAACCGCCGGGGTACTTACTACCCACACCAACCGCCGACTGCGGCACCGACTACCAACGTCGCATTCGCATTGAATATCGGCCGCACGCTACACCAATCTCTAAGCGCAAACAGACGCTTGACGTCTATACGGCCCATACTCAGCAATCGCAAGCTTACGAACCCAACACATCCGTCCCACGAGTCTCACCCGGACAGAATCTTGTGACAGCCTCACCGCCGCTCTCCCACCGCTCGCAGCGTTTGTCGAGCATATCTTCTCTCCATGCCCGTCTCTGACCCCGCCAAACTCGCACTGATGGCGACTGACCCTTCTACCTCTCCTCTTCTCCCGCTGCCTAAGTCGCGCAAGCGATCCAGACCGACCGACGAGGTTTCCGACCAGGCCTGCAGCACCAGAGCCGAGTCCAAGATCGCAGTGATAGACACACTCATCCGCGGTCATTACGAAGGCTGGATAGCAGATCCTACCCTTCGCGAGATTGACTGGTACCGCGCCACCGTTGCTCCATCTGACTTCGTTGCTCTCATCGAATCTTTCGACGACAAGCTGCGCAAGTGGATGCTGGAATCCCTGACCTACGACTGGAACGGATTGACAGGCGAGATTGTCCTTCGCAACATGGTGCCAAACACTGTTCACGACGTCGTCTGCGCAGAGATAGCAAAAGCCCTCGACCGTCAACTTGACGCATTGAAAGAGGAGGAAGAAGACGAAGACATGATGAAACTATTGAAGGCTATCGTGGGACCGTATACTACTGCATCGCCACTCCTAAATCAAGGCGTCAAGAAGACAGGCAACACCCTCACCGACGATGCACTGAAGAGCAAGCGACAACCCGACGCCTGCTTCCGTTTTCTCGGTCGCTCACACCAACCTATCGTCATCGAAGTCGCTAACGGCCAAAAGAACGAGGATCTGGAAGCTTTGGCAATGTCATGGATGCAGGACACAGAGCGCAAGACGAAGACAGTCATAACCGTCGGTTTGAAATACAAGACCCCTCAAGAACGGTACATGGACTATCGCACACCCAAAGGCACAATTGCCGTATATCGCGCCGATCCCCTTTCCACCCCCGCCGAGCTGAAGTGGACGAGGAACATGTTCACCTTTCACGATCTGAAGAGCAAGAAGCCTGCGAGTGAAGCCAGCCTCCAGCTAACGTTGGCCGACTTCGTACCACATTCCGAGATGAAAGATCTTCCCGAAGGCTTCGAGTTTCCTGACATCAATATCTCCGCGAGGAAGCTTCGCAGTATTCTCGATAGCGGCGACAGCCAGCAGCGGGATGTAGACAGAAGGTCGCGCAGCCCTGACTACTCTCCTCCAGCCAAGAAGGTGCCGAAGCGCCAGCCAAGCCAGGCTCAGCCTTCGCCAGCACCAGCCAACAGCTTTGGAAGGTCTATAGTGAAACCGAAGAGATATCTTGATTAGTGAAGGTTGGGCAGAGATAGACTGAGATCGGATGGTGCAAGGATAGACCTGGTGAGGAAGGCGTTGGACTGGATGATACCCTACATGATCTTGATGTTTTAGTTTGAATGAAAAGAGTACTTGAAGAATACCACAATGTTTACAGCACCTATCCCACATTCGATAAGGCAGTAAATACCGTCAGGCCTTCATACTAACTTTTCCGTGACTATCGCAGCATCATTGAATACTTCCAGGGTTATCTGTGAGATTTCCCAAGACGCTGGGAGTCTTGGTGGGAACCTCCAGCGCTACCTGTTTATTCTTCCGCAACGCGCGTGGCATGGGTGGATACCTTGAGGCAACCTCTCCAGCCCGCCCCAGATTTACCCGACACGCGGAACTTGACGTGTCTATGTCACTCCTGAGCGCTAGTTTGTAGATGCTCCATCTGGTCAAAGCCGTGATGAGATGGTTCTAAGGAGCAGGAGAATCAACGCGCACGCGAGGTGATGGAAGGGCCTCGGCTCAGCCGAGCAGCCGCCGCATTTGAGCTAGCGCGGAGCAACTCCAGCTCCAACCTCAGCGCGTCACTTCGCCGGCCCACGTCTTGACATCCATCCCGTTTTCGCTTTGTGCCGTCGCGCACGACCGCAAGATCAAGACCAGCGTCTCTCCGTCGAAGCGCTGTGCTGCCAGAACATCTCCTCCAATACTGCACCGATGCGACAGGCTCAATCTCGAGCTCTAATCTTACGGCAGGGTCTCTTCTACCAGCCTCCACGACCTTCATTCGCGTTGCACGCTTCTAAGGCCATGTCTCGACAACCTATATCATGGGTCGGCTCAACATGGCAGATGCATATGATACCGCCGCCATTGTCACAATACCCTGTTTCACGAGGACCAGTGGCCTCCGCATCCGCACATCCCTGGTATACATCCAGCCTTGGCTACGCCATGGACGCATGCAGATACAAAGAACGCGACAGTATTTGGACCAAGAACCATGTCTACCTTACGCGCAGAATGATCCCATGCACTTGATCTTTTGCTTGCACGGCATAACGGATACAGACACCCAGGCCGTTCTCTTCTCTTGCCACCCATATCTTGCTATCAAATACGCCAAACGCTTATCTCTAAAATGACGGGAAGCAGGAGGCCTGCCCGAGGAGCCCGAGGAGCCCGCGTAGAACCACGGAATCATCACGGTATTCCACCCGCTCCCAGACCAAAGAGACGCTACAAGCCCGGCACCGTCGCCCTGCGCGAGATCAAACGATACCAGAAATCTACCGACCTTCTGCTGCTGAAGTTGCCCTTCCAACGCGTAGTCCGTGAGGTTGCCCTAAGCGTCTCGCGTATCGATGGCCCGTTGCGCTGGCAGAGTCAAGCTATTGTGGCATTGCAAGAAGCGAGCGAAGCCTTCCTAGTTGGCCTGTTCCACGATGCCAACCTTTGCGCTATTCACGCCAAGCGCGTCACGATTCAGCAGAAGGACATTCAGCTTGCGAGGCGGTTGAGGGCGGCCTGGGGCGCGCCTGTGTGAGAGTTGGCATTGGCAACCGTGGCCATACCATCTGCGAAGAGCGTGGTAGTAAATGCGGGATCACCGAACGAGTGGTGGGCAGTGGTACATGTGCTGTAGTTGTCGAAAGTATCTTGATCATAGGGAGAGGCGAGGAAATGGACGGTGCGACTAACGTCTATCGCCCCGCACCCCAGACTGGTTTGACTATGGATTCAACATTCTTCATAAGAGCGCTACAGACTCTTGCTGTAATTTCTGCCCAGCTACAGGCTTCTAAAAGCCAAAATCACTTGCTCTTTCCGTTGTTCTTCTTGATCGTGGCGTTAGTCCGGTTTCAGTTAGCGTGTATTTCTCATTGGTCGCCATCGGCCGCGACGCGACCTCATCTCATAACACGAACAACATGCGTTATCATGCCGAACACACCCAGCAACGCCCGCCGTGTGTTTGAGCTTCGCCTTGCCCAGAGTGCGCTGAGCCCGCACGACCGAACCGCCGCGCCCACGCCGCTGGCTGATCTGCGGACCCTCGACGACCTTGTATGGACCAAAGAGGCTGTCTGCGTTGCCGCGCTCGTGCTGGGATTCCAGGACTATTACTGCGAGGACCTTGAGGCTTTCGAGAAGCGCGTTCAAACTTCACTCGGAGAGTCAGGTGGCTGCAAGAGCTTCCAAGACGTCTGGCACAATATCAAGGGTGTCACCGAACACTGGGGTTCAGACTGGTGGACCGTCCTCCAGCGACACCAAATCCGGATCCAGCAAGTACCGTCATTCAACCTTGCCGTTTACCTGAACAAGTACTCGAAAGCTGCGCAGCCGCTCTCGGAAGTTGTCGTTGAGATTCAGGCGTTCGACAAGGTCAGGCGTCAAGATCTCATCAGTGTCCAGCGGAGATACGACCCTACTAATCCGACCTACTTCGGTCAGACTGTACGTATCTGAGCCACAGTTGGACCTGTCATATGCACTGACAGCGCGTTCTCGCCTTCACAGGCTCAGCGTCTGGACTGCAAGTCGTGGCGGTTTTTCCTGGACCTCATCGCGTGGAGGGACAAGCGATCGAACGACACCCTGGCCGCAGACGTCTCTTCTGAGCGGGCGCGCCGCCTTGAGAAGCGCCAAAATCGCCCATCTAACTCGCCTGACAGGAAGAAGAATCGCAAACGGCGTGCGGTGATACCAAGGACACCAGCTAACCCTCGAGATCACTCGCGTTCACAATCAGTCGAGCGACCTAGACGAGGCCCATCGGAATTACCAGACGACGACACGAGCCTCTTTGAAGGCCGTCGGGACTCACTGTCATTCCAGGACAGCACACTCCAAGAAGAAGACCTTCAGGACACACTCAACGATCAGGAGAGTCCCTTCCGGCGTAACAGCATCATTGACCTGGACACTTCTCGTGTCACAGACGACGGCCCGTCGTTCGGGGACGACGATACCATCCAGCCATCCACCCCGGTTCATAGTATAGACCTCATGTCACTCAAAATGCTCGCGCAGGATCCAGACTACCGCGCAGTCATGCGCATCATTGTCAGGAAGAAGAAAGAGATCCAGTCAGCCAAGGAAGACAACTCTCAAGCTACAGCCCATCTTGCTCAGGCGCAAGAGACCGCTCGTGCGCATGCCTTGGAAGCGCAGAAAGCACTGCAGCTGAGTATCTTGCCAAGCAAGGATAGCCTGGAACAAATCAAAACGGATTTCTCCGCTAAGCTCAAAGCTACCCAGGACTACAATGACCATCTCGCAGGAGACATCACGGCGATCACCAACTTCGCTAGCTTAGGAGTAGCCTCGGCGACCCAGGACGTGACCAAACTAGAAGCCATGAAAGATGCGTGCGAAGCGGAAATCAGGCAGATAGAGCATCGTGTCACACAATATGGAGCGTGGGCTGAGAAGATGGGCGCCGCAGCGAGGGAGGTAGAGGAAGCGAAGGAATGTTCTCGAAAGGCAAATCAAGTCCTCTTGACAGCGGATGATATGATGCAAATGGCGGAGCTGTGGCTGGGCAAACCAAGCGCTAAACTTTCCATTGAAGTATTGGAAGATCTTCTCAAGGAGCCACTGGAAGAAGAGTAGATGGTGTGTTCGTGTTAGACGTCAAGCCTGTTGTTTCGATTTCGTCATGTTTATACCCCTTGCTTAGCAATGAAGAATGTGAACTGCGGCCGCTCTCAGAACGCAGTTTCTCCGTACTCAATGCATCTAAGATCTGTTTCATCCGCTTACTTTCCCTTATAATCGTACCGTGGACATTGCCGGAGTATAGCTTACTGCCAGATACCAAAGTTAAGTCAGATTGATGTAGATTATTGTCACGATTAATCATCGCTACCTCAAAGAGCGACAAATGGCGCCGAGAACGTTTGGAGAGGTTCACCCGCTCTTATCCCAATCTTCACATGCTGTAGACATCTTGATCGTGCATTTAACCCTAGGTCCCTACTTGCTTTCCTCTCTTGGGTGTCTTCACATGGCAGAGATATACGCCTGCTTCTATACCGACAGATGTAGAATGTACTTGATTGCTCTGCCTTTGATGACGTTCACAAAGACAAGGGTCATGTAGGAGGGGTGTATGCCCAAAGCGTTCAATGTGCTGTGCGGTAGCCACTTCACTGTTTGCGCGTGAGTTCTCATTCTGTGTTGGTACACTTGGATGCGATGAGAATACTACGCGGAAGAATTAAAAGTCCAAGACTCTCTCTGTCGGCAAGACTGATGTTAATCCTGGCGGGTGTCATGGTTCGGTGGAAAATTTGTGTTCTCGATATAGAAACGCGCGGCTTGAAGACGACAGATGAATACTATAATACTTGAGCGGCAGTCTCTTACTGCGATGCCCTATATGATGTGATCAGGTTTCTTGGGTGAAATCATGGGTTCACGCAGCACTAGTCATTGTCGCTGTACTCTGGCTCAATGCGTGACTACGAGAGTCCGTCCTGACAGCTGGAACAACTCCTGACATGCTATCTGTCGTAACGCCACTGTTCAAAGAGGCTTGCCCTCTTCTCGTCTTATTGTGATCTGTACTATTTCCGCGCGATTTGGAGTGGGATCTTGCAGCAATATCACTGCCGAAATATCTTTTGGGACAGGTGTAAAGATGGCGTGTTAGGCTACCCAGGTATGTCACATTCTTCATGGAAACATTGTTTCTTCCGCATCTCTGCGATGGTGTAGTGTGCGACGCTTCCATACATTGTGCTGCATTTGAGGAGATCGAATAGGAAGTGTGGCGACTGAATGGTAAGGCTAGGCTTCAATCTACATCTTTTGGTGCTCGCCATCCTGTTGATTTCATGGTTGCCAGTACACAAATCCAAATAACTTCAAAAGCTGAACGCAACCTGCAGAGCTGGCAAGGCTACATTGTCTCAAGAGTTGGTGAAACTTTTAGTCTCGTCCTAATGTAGACCGCACAGTACGATTTTATTTTTATTTTCGCATAAGGTGGGTGCGACGCTCAGTGAATACAGGGCGGGATTGTTGACGCCAAGCACGCTCGCGCTAGCCGCTCAAGTACAAAACGCCACCCATGAACATTGCTGCCTTTCACTACATATGCACTATTACGGCTAGTACGCATCGCACAACCGACTATATACCGCAAATTCGCACTTCCTCCGCGCGATACCCCACCATGCACTCTACTATGCGCACCTCTAGCGATAGCGAGCGCTCGTCTCTCTGTCCCTCTTTTACAACATCTCTTCCGTCCTCCTGGCCTCGGGCGGACTCTGTCGGGTCCCCTGAGGTGTATCCTTCGCCCAAATCGTCTCCTCCCGACATCGTGCGCAAGACAGAGTTGGACAAGATCTACAAACTTATCCATCGTCTCAGCAAGGGAAAGGCAGACCGCACAGCGGGCAATCGAAAATTCACTGTCGCGCTCGAAGATTGGTGTGCACTGAAAGATGAGATCTTCTTGAAAGGCGATATCATCAGCAGTGAAACCAGAGCGTGGGCAGGCGATAAACTGCACTATCACTACGACGCCGACGAAAGCACATTCGAAGTCAAGATGCCCGCCGGTGTGCTCCACGAGAAGATCAAAGTCGGATTCAGGAAGCTACTAGAGAAAAAGCTGGAAGCATTTCACGGAGCCCGTGCAACAGAGCTTCCGCCAGGTTTCGTCTTGGAACAATTCGAGGACCATGGTCAACCAGTAACCGACTTCGACACTGGCTCAGAACGCGAACCTGACGTTGCTATGGGGGTTGTAGGCTTGTGGCCACCTCCATTCATGGCCGAAATTGCCGACAGCCAGAGGGGCGTACTGGAATTTCGCGGAATATCCAAGAGCTACATCCTCAGGTCCAAGGGTAAAGTCCGAACCATGGTGGGTATCGACATCGAATATCGCGATCTCGCAAAGCGGCAAGTCGATGACAGTATCACTCGATGGTGTACCTATCATATATTCCGCCGGAGAATGGATGGCAAGAAGCTGTCAGTAGCCAATGGTAGCCCGGATCCCGTAGCGTTCAAGGACGCCAGTGGTGTCGTGAACGCGAACTCTCGAATTCCGTTAACATTAGCCGATTTTGTGCGGTCGGATGGAGTTGATCTCAGCAACCTGGACCTGGACATCACTCATCAAGAGCTGCATGACGTTACGGTGGAGGCGGAGAATGCGCTGAAAGTGCAACAAGCTGCCAAGCTCCTCCCTGAAGAGGATGTCGAGATCGTTGACTCCGATGACTCATCCAGTCCGGAACAAGATGACGATAGTACTGGTGATAATGAAGCAACGTCGGTTAGCACGCAGGATACACACGGCAGTACCAAGAGGAAGCGTTCAACAACCGGAGAGGAGAACGTGGACTGGGCCTTTGCCCATGCCCACCAGCGCGCAGCCTCTCCAAGTGTTGTGATCAAGAAGCTAAGAGAATAGACACCCCGCGACTGGCTCGCCACGAAAGCGGCCTTCGCATATTCTTCCATAGACTAGACTTGATACCCCGGGCGCAGCCCTCTGATGAACGATAGATAATGAACGAAATGACCACGATAATACCACGACCTCTCATTCTGATGCATGAGCCCATGAGCATACGTACAAGGTTCCTATCGTCTTGAACACCCCCCGACGCAGTTGTATTCGGCAAAACCTCTTTTGTGTGAAGACGTGTGATAGAGCTGCAGAGAAGATTGACAGGTGTCAGACGGATAGTTCAAGAGATGATACCACATGAAACAGATGATGTATTTGGAAAGCAGTGCTATAGTAAGCTACGATGAGGTGACTTGCGTGGAAGCATCTGTTTCATTACCCGCCATGTATTCCACCTCCTCCTTCTCATCAGTACCCAGGAGCGCATGTTCGATCTGCGTCAGTACATAGCTAGACTTCATCCTCATCATCCTCGTCATCAACGATGACATCGCCAGTCCTGGGATCTCTGATGACCGACTCTCCGACTACCATGTACGGGACGCCAGCGGGCACAGGCCTGCGCTTGACCTTGTCCTCACCCGTCAAAGCAAGTTCATCCTCGCTGTCAGACGATCCATGGTGAAGAATACTAGAACCGGCGCCTCCACGACCCTTCTTCCTAGAGTTACCGTCCTTCTTAGCCTGTGGCTTGCGCACAGCGGCCTTGATCCTCTTGCTCGGGTCACGGACGATATCCTCATCTTCGTCTTCCTCATCCATATCCATGGCGTCCGCCTCCCTCTTGACCACCACTGCACCTCGCTTCTTGGGGGTTGCAGCAGCGACCTTCTTGGCCGCCGCGCCGGCGCCTACCTCATAACCCAAGCCCTCCTGCATCTTGCGCGCCTCAGCGCGAAGAGCGGTGATGCGGTTCCTGATACTACCGACGCTGGAGCCAGGGAAGACCTTGGATAGTTGCGGGTATTCGGCGGGGGTGACGGTGCGGCCGAAGATGAGGAGGAAGAGCTTGCGGTCGTTGGCGGCGTCCCAGGTCATCTTGGTTGGACTGGAGGAGGGGGACGCGGCGAGGCTCAGGGGCGAAGAAGGGGCGGGTAGGAGGGGTTTCGCGGTTTTGGCGGCGCGCTTCGGGGTGGTGTTGGCTGACATGGCGAAGAATATGGTGACGATGACGAACGAAGAGGGAGAAGATCGAGGAGACGGTCACCGCTGTCTGTTGATGCGATCAGTTTGTCTGTAATACTGTGAGTGGGTGAGTCGGAAGTGTGGGGTAGATTGGATGAACGTACGAAGATATTGGTCGGCGCGACGGGCGGATAGAATGTCGCGGTTTGGGAACTAAGTCGGGGAAGTGCAGTGCTATCTTCTATGAGTATTGACCGTCTGGCAAATCTGATACCAACGAAGATGCGACGCCGGAGGATGAGATTTGTTCAGTGGTCTTGCAATTTAGTAGACGAGCGTGTAATGTGGCTCGTGTTGGCGCAAACGATTAACCAGATCGGGCGAGTTGAGTGAAGCAACACTCAGGTAGCATTCGCCAGATTCGACAGCTATAGTTCCAGGCCAAGAAGATAGAGTTTCGAGAAGAAAGACTGCACATGATAACACCTGCAGAGTTCCCTGTTATGGTACTTAGGAAATTCTCCATCGTTCTGAGCTCGATGTTCCTGCTCAGCTCATCGCCACTGGAAGATGCAGTCAGAATGACGATGCATGTTATGAAGAGGGCGGCAATAAGCTGCGCAAAGCCCCTGATGTTGTCAACAAGAAGACAGTACTTGTACTCATGAGCGAGCGGCTTCCAAGATGTCCAGACTCAGCTTCTCTCTCACCAGGTTCTGGTTTGGCATGCAAATGACGATGATATTAGCATGTGGTCCGAGCTATATCGATGATATTTTGCACAAGCCGCTGGTGGCAAGCCGTAAGGAAGATGCGAATACTGTGGGGGCCTTGAGATCCTTCAGGCATGATGAATCAGATGTCCGAACTAGAGGCCCGTGTACTTCGTTATCGCGCTATACGGCTGTTGTGAAGCTCCTAGCTGATGAGAAAGGGCACGCAGTCTAGCGAATGAGCAAGCCTCATGGGTCGGGCGTGTGTGGCACTCCTGTAGTTTCGAGAGTTTCGATGGCCGATGGAATGTATGCACCTACTCAGCCAGCCAGCCAAAATGCCGGCCGACGGCGATCAGTATGTACCAAAGCTCGCTAAACAGACCTCTTCGTGCCGGTGATGAGCTCATATCCTCTCAGCTTGGTACTCGCGACGTTTCTGCCCAGGTAAATCTGCTCGGATAACTTCTGTAGCCATTTGTAGGCAGTGGCTGGTGGCATGGCACCCGATTCCACCACCTCGACACAAACATCTAAAAGGCCAGCTACCCGTGTTACCGACGTGTGCTGTGATATTGAGTGTGGCACGATACGCAGAAGACAGGAGACTGAATGAAGCTGTGATGAGGTGCAGTTGAGTGATGACGTGAGGCTTGAAGATCCAACCTTGGAAGCCACGTGGATCTACCGTGGCCGCACCCACCCAAAATGCTGACATCACGAGCGAGGATTGGACGACGAGCAACACAAGATGCCACCAGTTACACTACTGCAGCCTGCGCGAGCGAGAAGAGTCCCGCAACCCCGGATCGGTCCGCGTACCTATTCAGGATGCTCTGCATCGCACTGTAACCCGTTGTGGTAACGAAGCGCCGCGTGAAGAACAGATTTCGATAGCCCCGAGATATACCCGTGAGCCCATTACTGCCTTGATCCCTCTAAACTTTGCATTCTTGACACTGCCACGTCTATAGATCCGCTCCTCTACTGCAGTATTCTACGAGAACAAAACCATGAAGCGGATGCCCTGATCGAGCGCACGCTGCGCCAAAACCTCTCCCCGTGCGCATCATACCTCAGCCCGTTCTGTGTTGAGCTGATGTCGCCGTGGTCATGCTCGAGTCATGACTGAAGTGTGCGGTCGATGCGCCGAAGGCGGAGGGCGCGAGCTGGTGCCCTGGCTGGAAAGAGATGGTCAACTTGGATGCAAGATCAAGAGGGGACGAGACATCTCACTGTTGCCCCTAGCCGGATACTCTGGCTCCCTTCAGCGCGTCCGGGCGGGTTGAGCGTCGCAAGGCTGTCCGTCGGCGGCGTCTTCTTGCCGCCTGATGGCTGTCGTTCCGGCTCTCTGTATCCAGCCAGGGCTTCATACTCCTTGTCCCAGTCCGCCCCCAGGTCTCTCTGATAGTCAGGAGTCACCAGATCTTCCGTGTCTCGTTTGTCGCGCCAATCCAGTCCTTCATGCCAGCCGTCCTGTTCGGGGTATGGGATGACAAGCCGGCCGCCCACCCGTTCTATAATTTGCTCCGGCGTGTCGGTGAGGTGTGATTCGGTCGAGAAGGATGGATTGGGCTGGCCGGATTTCGGGGTGTCGAGGCGTACATTGCAGTCTGCGGTGGACGACGCGGTCCTGGAGCTGTCAGTCAGGGCGAAGGCCGACGAAGCGCATGTTTGGTACCGTGGTCTGTCTTTGGTAGTCGCAGAGCGCTTGCGACCGAAGCAGCACATATGCGCAGAGTGCAGGAGTCTGGGTATCAGGAATGTGCAGTCGTGGCGTGCATGGAGAGCGTCGGGGCTCCACAGCGGCGTGGTTGAGAGTCTGCGTGTCTGTTGTCAAAGGGCGACCCTTAACGAAACTATACGGCCAATACGGAAGGTCGCACAGCACATCGCGGGCCTCAACTCCCGGAGCCGCATTCTGGGCGGCGTCTTGCAAGAGGTGGCTGCACGTGATGGCAGCTCCAATGCGATGCCAACTCAGCTATTGCGACACCGCAAAAGCGATGCGCAGCTGAATTCTCGCGAGGTCGTGGATGGTGTACCGAGCCAGCGCAGGCTGATGGTGAGGGCGCCCGGAGTTAACATCGCCCACCCGCCCGGCGATAACAACGCCGCCTGTGTTCTGTCCCTTCACCCATTCACCATGGTATCTCTACCACTCCACTCCACAGCAGCCATTGCCTACGCGCGCGGTACCAACCTTTTTGTCGCTATCTTCTGTAGCCCTCATTATTGCTGACCTCATCCTCTTGACCTTGGCAAATCCGGCCAGCGAAGAATCACCACCGCGATGAAAAGACGAAGGTCCCGCCCATTCAGATGCCTTCGTTGCTCCAGTACGCTTCTTCCAATCGGACCTGCCTAGGAGCAGGTATAAAATCAAGACCGGATCACCTCCTCGCCCACGACATCGACACCGGCTGAAGATACACAAGCCAACGCCGCGACCCACCTTAAGCGCGACTTCTTCACCTGATCAGGTTATGCCGATGGCGTACCTACCTCTGGATGGCATAGTGAAAAGGGGAAATGAGGAGGCGCTGTGCAACTCACCTTCTCAGCCCGACCTCTTCTTCCAGTCGTCGAACACACAGCAGGCCTCCTACCGGCCTCGCGCCGCGCCGGTAATCGCGCCAACTGCATCCGATGCCACATCTTCAAGATGAACCGCCACAACTACATGCAGCCTTGGTGCCAGACACTTGAACGCAAATAAATTACGCTGGACCACCCCATTCACATCGGCCAATTAGGAGCGCGCCTGTCCACCAACAGCTACAGCAGTGGGGCTTCACCCAAGCCATGGTCAAGCCAAGATCTACGGCGGAGAAGCGAAGATGTGAGGCTCAGTGACCGGTACACTTCTGTTTATCCCTCTTACCATTCCACGAGCTAATGCGTAATAAGGCTGTTCACATAATACCTGCGGTCTTCTCCCCACTCAAACGCAGTCGATACCGCGCGATATTCACCGAACGCTTCCGTACACGTACTCTCTGTCCACGTATATGGCCAACAGCCCCAAATGATATAAACGATGAGGCTGCGACGAAGAACACATTCTTATATACAACGGAACGCGGATGTGGTACGACCGGATGTGGGAGAGGGCCGTCACGGGCGGCAGCTCCTGGTGTGAAACGATCGTCGGGCATTCCACCCAATCGGACTTTCGCATGAACGTGGGCATGGACAGACGAGCACAGGAGGATCTGGAGATTGGGTTGGGTCAAGTGGCTACATTAGATCGCGTGCGGAGGAAGGCTGCTTTGTGTAGAAGGGCTAAGCTGGGAATGAACATCAGATGCGCCATGATGCTGACTAGGGCATGAGCATACGCACTACCACAATCAAATGGCTTCCGGCCGCCCCAAATTTAGCGCTCGTTCATACCATCATGCAAGTATTCACATCCGATATCTGACATCGCCGTCACATCGTCGCAATTCCCTTGTTCTTCTCTCACAGTCAGAAGACACCATATTGGGGGAACATCAGGGCGGTCTGCGACGGAATACTACGCCATTTGGAGTGGCTTCTAGACAGTTTGAACTCTCCTGTGTATCATGTACACCAATTCCGCCCGGGTGATATTTGCATGGCGTTCGCTGTCACCACCGGCGTCACCAGACATGACAGCTCCCGCGCCAAGGATCCCCAAATCTAGCGTCCCTCAGACGGCATCATCGTCATCGTCATCGTCAACTACTCCAGCCACGCCAACGAGTCTTCCCTGACACAACAGAACTGGCCTTCTTTTCCAAAAACCTTACGTCTTGCCCGGTCAATGTCTACATGACGTCCGCAATCCGCATGACGGGTCAGTAGCCACCTCAAGCGATGCTGGGAATGACAGCATGCAAGCCCCCATTCGAGGCATCCTTCGCATCGTCGAACCCAGCACCCCTCATACAACATCCTCACTCACTCGAAGACCACTCGAGACACCGCATGCTGTAACTTGACGAGAACATCTCCATCCACCGCGCGCCTGATGTTATCGCGCCATGAAGACCCGACGCCATGCCCTCCGGCCCCTTCGCAACGAAGCCCTGCGCGAGCGATACACACCGACACACCTTGCGAGAGTCCCATACCCCTCAGCCGCATTGGGCTACGCATGAACGCACACATGAGCCGGAGCTATGGCGCAACGTTACCGCGTGAACATCTGCTTTCGGCCGCAATGCCCTGGGACATACTTCCTCGATTGTAGCTGGTGGTGGAACACGACAGGCAGCATGCTCGAAGTTGTCGGACTGCCTGGAGTTGCGAGCGAAGTCATATGAGCAGGGGCGCAAGGCCTTT